CGGAACACTTCGGTGATTGGATTTGGAGTACTTAGTCGCGACTATACTCATTTAATCGGTCTAGGTTTGCCTTAAAAACATCCACGGTTAAGGTTTGGATTCGTACTAACTTTAGGGTTTAGGGTAGAGCTAGGGTGAGGATTAAGGTTACAGTTTCGTTTTACTTTGGAGCTAGTATTAAGGTTGAGGCACGTGAATACATGCCCTTACTTAACTTAATCCCAGGGTGACTTAGTTTAAGTGGGCGAGGCGTCCCTATTTCCGGGTCCTGTTTAGACGCACAAAGGATGCCTTGCTTGTGCACGCCCTTTAAAACTGTGTCTATAAACTTACATGCACTTGTGGATGCAAGAACATAGGGCGAACGCAATGGCAGTTGGTAGCCAGATCTGTAGAGCCCCTACCCAGATGGCTGTCAAGCAGGAAAGCTGAATTCCACTTTCATCCATTGCGAAATATTTGGTGGCTATGGGTCACCCAGTGGACCCTTAAATTTCCCTCGGAGTACGACGACTGTGACCGTCGCTCTCGAATATGCCCACCACGAGCCTCAGCAAGCTGAAGCAACGCGGTGACTCCCGCGGGATAATAGTCAAAGCAGAATTGCGGAGAATCTATCCCACTCTCTCACCACTCCCGCACCGGGATCCAATATCAAGACAAACGTTGAGAAGACCAGGGATGGGGGAGGTCGCAGGCGGCTGGCGAGACCAAAACTCAACATGCGTACCAACAATACACATCGTTAGTTATGCTTCCGTCTGATACCGCCATAAAAGCCACATTAAGAAGGAGCCATTAAGCCTGATTTTCAGCTCGCAGTAAGCTACTCCACATAACAAGATCCCTCGGAGTGCTTCTTCTGGCACGAACAACTCAGATATTGTGCTACCCGGAGGCGTTCTATATACGTCAGGCGAAACCCAACCTATATAAACAGTTGGAAGACGGGATTAACCTAAATTTGCCTTGGTAAAATTCAGCTCCTAGACTTACACTTTTCTCCCCTTCTTTTTCTATCTAAAGTTTTCGCCCACTTTTGTTTCCATAGAGTGGTTTAATTTGCTGAGTAGCCTACCTGACCCGGCTGTTTTTGCATCGATTTTTCTGTGCGAATTCAAATTATTGTATTTTCGCATTCATTATTAATGTTGTGTAGCAAGAACTAGCAGCCGATCAGCAGTTTGCAATATTTACATGCTTTAAATTCGTACTAGGATAAAGATGCCTCAAAAGTCATTAGTATTGAGCCTCTCTGACCTGTAAACTGGGTAATTAGATTGCCTGGGAGGGGTAACCTCAGGGGCTATACTGACTTGCTCTTCCATCTTCTCTCTACAAGGTTTACTGGATAAGCCAGACACAATGCTTTCAGCTGCGGTGAAGGTCCCAGTGGACATGGACATCAGTGTTGCTACACCACTACAACGTGTGAGCCAGAAGAGTCCACAAACCGAAATGATGGAGGTATAGCCTCTTTGGTGTTGCTTTTAAATGCCTGGGGGAAATCTCCATTGGACCTATCATCAGCGAGTTTTTTTGTTTCACACTTCTACTAGGAGATCAAAGAAGACAGTCAGGAGTATGCAATCTTTGGTAGCCCAACACCCACTGCTCCAGACAGTGCTCTTCGCGGAAGATTGACTGGCCGACCCAGCACCAGTTTCATGACAGGTGTTGAAGGCGAAGACGAGGAGTCCATCTCGCGCGCTTTGGTGACTCCGAATACTGCGCGAGTGGGGGAGAGTGACACCGCCATGCCCATACCATCGCCCCTGTCTTTTTCGGGATTACGTAAGGCTGAGAAAGCCATCTGTGAAAAGAAGACAGTGGGTGCAGTCAAACGGCTCTGTGATACGACAAACACCTACCTAGAGGACAAGTCACCAGTTTGTTCGCAAAGTCAAGGCAGCAATTCTCGGAGCGGTAGGTGCTTTAGTTCCCCCAAGTTCCTCCAGTCAGGAATGCATGATGGGGTCATTCGGGTGTCGTAGGAAGTAGGAAATATTTTTTAAGCAGCAGCAAAAAAAACTTTGGATCTATCCATTTCTCAGGGACTTTTTTCTTCGAATAGCACTAAAATTATATCCGATCTAGTTTTGCTTCAAGTTTCGCAAAGAAAAAAATGACCCCCGGGTGGCGATGTGTTTATTTTGGACCTATGTACCTTAACCAGCTGTTGTTTTCCATCAAATTCTATTTTTAAGCGCCTGTGCTCCGCTTTGGTTCGTTTAGCATCCCAAAGCACTTCAGATGTATTCTTATTGGAACTAGGCATATACTCTCCCTTAACTTGAGGCATTTCAGCGTCTTGATAAGAAACAGATTCTGTGCTTTTCCGTCAGATCTAAAATGTGTCGTAATAATAGTCCTCTTAGTGTCTGGCTACCCGTTTATAAGTGCATAGCTATGCAGTTTTATTTAGTCCTTGTTTTCCATTATTATACCCTCTTGACAAAAAGTTCCAATCAGCCCTGTTGACTCGTGACTGATATCTGATGTTTTTGGTTCCTGTTTAAAGGCGCGATCCTGGTACCACTTCTGGGAAAAATGGTTGATCTTAAGCGGAAGACGCAACCGTCAAAGAATAAAGCCAAAATTGATCCGCTGCCACCCACTGAACCCTTAATTACTAATCTGGTCTCCCCAACGGCAGTGGACTCGAAGGTAACGACGACAATAACGACAACACATCCAGTCTCCCCTACAGATGTAAACGAGTCCCTGCCTAAGGTACCGCCTTCGCGTAAGAAGCGTCAGTCAGCCAGAGGTGGTATGGGACGTCGATTCTTTGCATCTTCGTTCGCGGAGCGGTGTAGGCGCGATGAAATCCGTTTCCTACAGGCCTGTAAAGCCACGAAACCGAACACGATCACGAATGAATCCCGATCTGCGGCTGATGCACGCAAAACGGCTCGGCGACCTGGAAAGCAGGCGGCATTGGACGAGGTCACCTTGTCCCAACTTTGTAAGTTGATGCTCTTTCGATAAGCGGACAAGTTTGCTTCGAACAATTTCCAGACTGGTTCTTCAGTTCAGCATCCAACGTAGTAATTTCTAGCTCTAACCAGTTCATCTGACTAAAAGCCAGGCCTGAGCATATCGTCAAATTGTAAAATAACTCTCCTACTCAAGATTTGGTATCCGGATGGAACGACTCCTTCTGAATATGAGATTCACGGGGCCATCTGCATGAACCCTGATACGTTTAGAGGTTGGGATCATTTCACGTTTAGCAAACGTGACGGCCTGAATGGAGAGAATCTTCTCCCCATCTGTTGGTATAATTGTTTTGAGCAGACGTTCGGTCGTATGTTTTCGTTTAGGAATATATCCTTTTACTCATTTTAGGAAAGGATTTTCTCTTGTACTTAATTAATCGTCTTGCTTTCACGAGAGGCAGATTCCTGTTACCCTGACAGCCAGACGAGAAACCAATTTAGACATTAACCTGAAGGTTGTGAAACCGCAAAAGCTAGTTTAATGCCTTGTTTTACTCTTTGTTTCTTAACAGACTTCTACCTGGTCTATACGCTCTTCAAGTTTGTACCGAAATAGCAAGTTCTATAGTACTACATTTAAGTGCATTACAACCATTCCTGTGCCTGCAGCTCAGCTATAGTGGTGTTGGTCTTTTAAACAACTAAACCGGAGTTTCGGTCTCAGGTACTCTGGTACTACTTTTAGATTACCGACTGCAAATGGAAGACGATGCAGAAGTAACTGAATCATTTTTCCTTGTCGGTTTTCGTCCAGCCTAATGTCTCAGACATTTGCAGTTCGCTGCAGACTCAGCGGATCGCAGTTCTATCGATGTATTGATTCCGTAGGCTAGGCTTTGCTTCTGTTCCCGCCAGCAGAACACTTAATTTATATATTTAGAAAAAAGTTTTGATCGTTGTGATGGCATCGGAAAGTAGAAAACCAAGCTGGTTATCTGGTCAAATCGTTTAATTCCGCCTACACGAGTCTCAAATTCTTGCGAGACTTGATTGCGTTTAGTTCCTTTTACCTCTTGCCGGTTTACATCAGGAGATCTTGACACTCGTTGATGAACGTTTACCGATCGCTAAATTAATTCACTCGGGTGAGTTCCGTTAGCGATCGGTAAACGTTCATCCACGAGTATTCTGGAGATTTACATAAAAAACGCCAGATGCGCTATGGCCCGAAGATTATCATTTACAAAATGAAGCTTATTAACTGTTGCCAACTTCCCTATCGCGAATTCGACAGCACTTTTACAGTGAGTTTTCTTTTTTTGTTGTACTGATTACATAAACCAATGCTTTATCATTTTACGTAAAGCTTACTTGGAGGACAAGGATTCTCCTTCTCGACCACCTAAGTCGCGTCCCCAGGCAGGCGGCAGCTCTGGTAGCTGCACGCTCAAATCGCGTCCGGCAATACGAAAGGCTGCTGCAATTGCTCGTAGTCGCATGGCAATGGACAGGTTTGTACTCCAAATATAGTATGTTTATCCGTAAAATATTGCATCGGTAAAGAAGAAAGATGACGCTGGCGTACAAAGCCTTGCGCTCTTACATGCGATCACAGCCAGACGTCCATCCTAGTTAATCGGACCCACATCCTCCATAATCGCCCCATTTTTCGTTGCTGACGTGGTCATTCGGCGCCCACACCAAACATTTATCGATTTTTACACGTTCAACTTTTAACTTTTTTTCTCAGACCAGCCACTTTTTTGTTGCTGCTTCCCATCTCTGACGATGGACTCCTGTAGGAGTCCGAAATCTCAGAATAACAAACAAATCGTTTCGGTGTTTGACCATCTTTCTTCTTTTCCGATGCAAATACCTGGAACGGGAATATTCTCTTTCATTCATAAAATATTGTTTTTATTAGATTACGCAGCCTCTTCCGTGTTCCTGTTGGCACTTCTTAAAGAATAGGTCATCAGCAGCGATCTGCTTAGGGATACACGTGCGCCGGGCTGCTACAGGAATTGGTAATTATTTTAGTCCCTAAACAAACATTCACCATCGTAGCAATTATATTCTGAAAGTTGCTAGGCGAGAATCACTAATTTGGAAAAGTAAAGCTGTTCTCACCGCAATAGATATTTCTTGGTACTGCTGTTTCAAAGAGTTTGCTCGACTCTTTACTGTGAGAGCGTTTAATGCCGATGATCCGCCACAAAATTTGAAGTGACTGCCTGAGCTAATCGGTCCTAAAATGATTGATTTTATTCTTCCTTCGTTGCCTCTAGCCTTTTAGGAGTGGAGTTTGTGGGGTTTGACGGCCGTTCGCGTTACGCGCCGTCACCTCGACTGGTGATTGTTTACGCAGCGCATGCTTTGCTTGACAAAATAGTTTGAGTATCTATTAGCCTGGAAGGGGTCATAAAGGTATTCTCTCGTTCAGCTATCCTGCCGGCGAGCAACTTTACTTTATCCGGTGATCACTCTCGAATTAGTACTTTCGCGAACCTGAGAATCACTAAGATGATGCGCCAAATATTTCCTACAAGAGTTTGCCAGTACGCTCCCCATCTTATGGAAAGAGGAACCACATAAAACTCCCCTGGGTAATAAAAAATATGTTCCCACCGGGTTGTTTACTTTAGGATCTTCTCTTCGGTTTGAAAGGAGAGGGAGGAAGCGTTCTTCTGGACCTACATTTTATTAAGGCCAAGTTGAGGCGTCACATTATGGTTCATCTGAGTTCCAATCTGTCAATTACAGAAAGCGTTTAGGTTACTCGGTATTTCTTTAACCCTTCGGGCTAATTGATGTTCCTCTGTTATAGAATTACTTCAACCCTTTCATCTATTCAAAAGGGATTGCCATGTAATGTGTGTTGCTGCATTTTTAGTGATGACGATGCAGACCAGTCGTTTTCAATTGCTGACAGTGAAGACGACCAAATAACCAGTCGACCACACCCTAGAACGTGTTCCGCTGCAGGTAAATCGAAAGCAGCTTCGTCAAGAAATCAAAATGCCGACTTTTTGATCCCCTCCTCAGACGTGGTGGCAAATGCCCCCGAAGAAGCTTGTCTTCGAAGTATCTCCCCAATGAGTTCCCTTGAGGCACCGTTGTTGTTTGACCGATCTCCAAACAGTCTCTTTGACCTAACAACATCTTTCGACGATGCAGTCGAGGCCGGTGGACCTCAAAAACGGACAAAAAGAACTCGAGGTCGGCTTCCACTACGTGCAAAAAGCGGGGGGAAAGTCCAAAATCGAAGCCCTCTCAAAAAGGTAAGTGACCAGAATATTCCCTCCCCTCCAATATTTTGACTGGACCTGCTTACACGAGGTGAAGACAAAACTGTCTTATAGGGCCGTCTAAATATCTATTCCCGCCGCCCAACTGTCCAACGTACTTTGTGGTCAAACATGTAATTGTTGGTTAGAAAGTGTAAATTAATACTTAATTGTGTTGGAAGTGATCAAAAAATATTAAATTAAGTAAATTTATATTTGTTTGAATGTACTAAATAGAATGAACTCCATCAACATAACTTCCCGTTGCTCAGGCAACTGATGCTTATTGAGGGAAAAACAACCTTACATTCGTGGAATTTGACGAAAAAAGAGAAATTTGACCTTATATTGGCGGAATCTAAGGAAAAAGGGTTACTGAAAATGTAAAAGCAGGTTATTGTCTGACATGCGATCCCCAGCAGTGTACACGCTTTTGAATGCAACACTAAAAAATGCCTTTGGCCCTACAACATAGGTAAATTACGGTCGAAAATTTACGTTTAGCGGTTTTGGTGCAAAGTTTCCATTTACGGACCAAGTCGTCCGTGGTCGGAGCATCGCACGATTCCATCGGTCTATTCAAGCGAAATTTTCTCTCCCATCAAACCTTGTTTTGCGTGCGCGAGGCTGCACAGTTGTTTGTCGAAGGTTTCTTATGGTGCAATCAACCCCCACAATAAGCAGAATTTCAATATCAGACCACTGCATGTTTTTAAAGGACTAACCATCTGTTGGGCAAGCGGCCTTGATGGGTGGTTGGTTGGCTGGCTTACTCGCTATCTTTTGAACTCATTGCGAAAGATGTGCAATTTTGGGCAGTCCCCATTTTCCAGATGTCATGCAGGTTTCAGGCATCTCGAAGGAAACGAAGGTCCTGTATAAAATGGGGCGAACTGAAGCACAGACTGAATTCATGGCATCTAGGAAAGTAGATTGTTCCAGAACCGTTCGCTTACCGGGGCAACGCCATACCAAGGAGCACTCCAATTCTGTGACCAAATTCTAGTACGAATCTCTGAAACATGTCAAACCTTTAGCAAGCTACAAAAACCAGTTTGGAATCTGCGTGTCATCAGCCTTACCGGGTAACTGGGGCCTACAGAACTGTATTGATTACTCCCCTAGATGGAGCCTACATGTAGGCAGTGTGTCAAAATCGGAGGTGAAGACATGATTCATTTAGCCAAAGGTGCCTACGAAGGACAAGGAAGGTAAAGCGGCAGAAACTAATCTCAAGAATTGAAGTTCGGGCATGTCTGATGTTATTCGGAAGTGGGCGGCTCATGAGCGTTCTCGCAGGGTGACCTTTTTATTGAGGTTGCCAATGCTCCTCAAAGAAATAATTGACAAAAACGGCACTACGATAACTATCGCAGAGAAAACCCTTGCTGCTGCGAT